GGATATTGTGATCCACTTAACAATCAGTGGCCTCTGCACAAAAAACTATATTCTTCTACGGAGATTTCGCGTAAGTCCCGCCCACCTGACCGGGCTCCGCCCACTACCGTACCCTTTCTAACCAAGCCCTTGCCTTCATCATACACGCTCTAGGGGCAACTTCCTACCCATCCGGGACCATACCCTAACTGTTTTCTTGGATATACGTACACAAACACACCAAACTTCTACCTTATATATAGAGATGATCCTCGCGAGCAGGGTGAATATCGGTCGAGGAAATCCTCGACAGGGGGGTCGTACCTGTCGGGCTGGGTCATGGGGGGTCGTACTCTTGGGGGTCAGTAACAGCAGTGGTATCGTGGTGCAGATAGGTAAGAGGGTATAGCGCAGCAGAAAATGAAAATATCTGAAAAAAAACATGATATTAAATTTTCTTTGCAGGTTCAGTCGCTCCATTCCTCCACCTTCATGAGAAGGGCGTATTTGAAGGCAGTACAAAGAATGAAAGTGCATCCCCGCAAAGAAGACTGCCACATGTGCGCACGCGCTGCAAAGGCACCTCCTCTGCCTATCGCTCCTTCTCCCTTAATACCTCGCTGAGAATGACACTGTTGTTAGGGACCCTGTCGCAAAAACGACAACCGTGAAGGAAAAGCCCTGGGCAAATGAAGTTGTTCTTTAGGTTGTAGGAGTTACGAAATGTGTTTACTACAATGCAGCTTCTGTCAACTGGTCATGATCATATAACACCTTCCAATCGATTCTGCAACTTGAGGTCGGATGCATGGCCTATACCAGACAAAATCGGATGATGACGATTGCCCCTTTTCTTATTGCTTATGTTGAAAGATTTTTCTAGACACATTTCGAGCGTTGCCAACGAATTACACTTGCAATGGTGAAGGAGGGAGCGGATTTTCAGGTGGCCGGATCCGTCCTCGATACATACTCGACGCAAGATATCTTCTCAACTAGGAAATGTAGAAGAAAGCTAAGAAGACCATCAGAAAGCGCAAACCTTCCGCTTTCCAAAACTATCTTCCCTTTTTCAGGATCTTACGAAATTAGAGAGATATTGCTTTTGAAGTGGCAAAAACTCGCGTGAAAATTTCAGCGTCCTCGACGTTTACTCGACGAAATTTGAGAGACCCTATCTTTCTGCATGGAAGGCTTTCAGAGCAATTTCAATACTTCTTGGAAACGCGAAATCCAGCTCTATCTAACCCTACCTCAAACTGCTTCAAAGGTTATGAAATGGAGGAATGCAACCTTTTCATCGAGGGTGTAGATTTCGACGGTTTTTTTTTGGGATTTCAGCAAATCTGACCCAGTGACAATCGCGCCGCAGCTGCCGTTGAATCGGCCTGATTGATACACTCGGCTGTTTGATATACTCAAGCAAGGAATCAAGATTGAATCGCAACCCCGTGCCTTCAGGATTTCTGTGCATTTCTGAACGAACCTGACTTTGAGGTCACACAAAGTTAATGCCTCTTTCCTCGAGTCGATATTTCAGTAAATACACAAAAGTGTGCAGCGATGAAAGACAGTGCATAGATGACAAGATGAGGCGTCCATAACATTATTTTGCAGGATTTTTTTTGATTTATTTTGCAGGATTTTTTTTTTTTTGTTTTGCAGGGATTTATTTTAATTGAATTAATTTGCTCTGTTAGAGGGGGTCGTGCCAGGATCTCGATTTCGGGGGGGGGGTCGTACCTCTGCGACCACGTACTCGACACGATTTTCACCCTGCTCGCGAGTCCATGGAAATACATCGCTATTATCGACATATCGCATCAGAAGCGAGCTACAAACAAAGGCTGGTCTGTCCAGATCCCTTTTGATGGCGACAGATAGAGCGTCTGCAAAGCGTCGAGGGGTAATTAGAGTGTGGATCACCTTTAAAGGACGAATTCACGATGAAAAAGCAACCCATTTCAAATTAACCTAGGGATGGTGAGTGGTACACGAAAGAAGGAAAACCATGAGAAACGGCCCAGAACCCGAGAAATGGGACCCCTTCCTTGCCCGTTGATTTGAGCATTGATGCGACTCTCATCGCTGTGCCCTCTTCAACACTACGCTCTCTCAGCTATCTAATCACTCGCCACGTATTGAACTACGGCGAGTGATCAGATGATCGGTGGGCGGAGATCGCCGGACCCGCCAGCTTTGAGGCATGATAGGTCGCCGAGGTCAAATTTTTCCATGCGAATTGCGCGTCAGTTCGCACCCTCAGGAGGTCCGTGGGTCCCTCAACTAGGTCAGTTTCCCTTTCTTCGACCTTCATTCTAATCGTGAATTCCTCCTTTAAATAGAAAAGCTTATGCCGAAATGGATTGAACCGCAGGAGCATCGTGGATTGAGGGAGGGTGTCCCTCGCCTATCTGCTGGTTGATCCTCTATGTTGTTTGGCGTTTGAAAGATCCTAATCAGAAGTGATTAAGAAGGGAGCTCAAAAATAGGTTCCAGAAAAATTGAAAGTATCAGCCACGGAAGGCAGCATGTAAATGGGCTGAGTAATTGCTCAGGTAGGATAATGTGGGTGCTACTTCGCAAAACATGTTTCACGCCTTCACCATTTTTCTTGGATTTTTTATAACAATAAATGTAAAGTGATTCACTAATTATGGGACAATCTAATGTATCAACAGACTTCAAAAGCTTCTACATACTCATTTCACTTAAAAAGGCCTAAATTTTGCAAAATTTTCGCACTCACACACTTTTGCAATTTCGTTTGTAGAAGCTTCAAGTCTTTCGGAATAAATATTTGAAGACTCACATTGTTTATTACAAATTTAGACCAAGGCAAGAATTGGTATGGCATTGTGAACTAGAATATTTGCTCTACTGAAGATCATTAAAATTACATAACACATTCAGTATTTCAAAAATGGCCCCGTTGAGGATTCTTGTCTGTTAAGTGCCTAGAGATTTTTCTTCGTTGCGTTGTCACTCTCCGCGACTAGAGGTTCGTTCACAAATAATTTTGTACAAACTTGGAGGACGATTTTAGAATCTTTGTGGCTCAGAGGAGAGAGCCCTTGTGGCTCATCGCAGAAGAAGGATTGCGCCTTCACCTTGCTGGACCTCCGCTTACTGTTCTTTTATTCCTCCCGACCCAATTCACCACCGATCCCGATCGTTGTTAACTAATCGTTTGTTGCAGTTGATTCTGTCCGACTGCAAGGATGGAAGAGGGGCTCAATCGTTCGAGATTCCGACATTTTGAGCCAGGCTTGAGCCTCTGAATAATACGATCTGATCGAAACGTTGACCTGTTCGATAAACTCCCCAGGACTCTTCGGCAATAGATCAACACCAAATTAATAGTATAACTCTCTTAAATTAGAGTTGTTCAAAACTGCACAGCAAATGTAAGAAGGAAAGTGGGAAATCTACTTTTGTGGAGGATATAAACTGATTCATACATTAATTTAGCAAAAGCGATGACACGTATGATGAGTAATGAAATGGACTATGAAATATGACAATAAGCAATCACCTTTGTTTGCAGATAGGGCGTTCAATAACATTCTTTGAATTTCCGAAAAGCATTCGTTAGCGTCCTGTTGCTCAAGATGGCCATGTTCGTCTCGGGAACTGAACTGTGGCAGTATGCCATGCAAGGCCTGTAAATAAGACTGTGGCTTATGATTAGTAATCGTGTCGTGGGGAATCACATGCTCAAAATTACTATTACCATCTGCTGGATAACAAACCTCAGAACGTCACACAGAAGAGTGAAATAAGGAGGAAAAATAAAATATTAAACCAGCCTGAAGCATGAAAAATGGCACAAGAGGTTCATCAGTCCTCCGAGGGTTATCGAGCATTTCGTACACACTTTTGACAGCCATAGCCATCTTTTTGTTCGCGTCCGTTTCTGTCCCTCCTTGATGCAAACACTGAAGACCCTCTTTGATTTCGGGAATGGTCTGAAAAACGGCACTCATTCATAAATTCTTCTTTAGAGGTATTGCAGATCAATAATTGCGAAACTTCAAACGGGCGTCAACCACTGCTACCCACACACAACTCAATATTATATGTAGTACTTATTACACGCCGCTATCTAGACAACAATAAAGCTAAATATTGTATAACACGAAGAGGCACTAAAATTTTATTTCAGAAGGATTCCAAAAGCTCACAAAATTAAAAAAAATCCAAAAAAAAACGAATTTTTGAGTTTTGTGAACTTTTGGAATTCTTTTGAAATGAAATTTTGGCGCCTCTTTGTGTACACAATATTTAGGTGCTGATGAGGCTCCGTGACAGCACAATATCACTTCATTATATAAACCAGAAGTTTGGTGTGTCGGTTTGTTTGTGTGTATGCACGTCTGTCTGTCCGTCCGCAAAATGGTCGACTAGAGGCGAAAGATATCGTGATTGTAGTAACATCTTCCTAAACTTTCTTTGAAGGCAAAGTTCTTTGAAGGAAACTTTGAAGGCAAAAGACGTGTGAAGGCAAAAGACGTGAGTGGCGTTTCGCAGTCCACGTTAACAGTAGTGTGTTCTTACTCACAAGTGTTATGGGGGTGGGACGTGGACATTCCATCGTTATAACCAACTTAGCTTGAGCAGATTCTTGGCGAATGGTGCATTTTATTCTTGATCTAATACCAAGGAGACCAGAATTCATTCAATGACCGCTAAACCTTAGGAATTTTGAACACTGTGAAAGAAAGATGAGTATTAGAAGCCCAATTATTATACTCGATATCTCGAAGTCAGATTAGGCGTGTCTATGGGTTTGACGTGGCGGCCGCCGCATTTGATGGAAGTTGCGCGGATAAGCATGCTCTGCTGATATCCAATGGAGTACGTTAGAAACAGCCTATCCTCACGGCTTTTATCAAGTGCGGCAAAGGCCACGTCAAATCCATAGCCACGCCTAATCTGACTTCGAGATTTCGACGGTATAAGTGAGCATGTTTCATTTTATTTTGAGGCTAACGCATAACCCTATTCACCGCTAAATTACCAGAATTCAGGAGAAATGCTGAGTGTTTACAGGCTATGTGTGATAAAACCTGGAGAGCCCGCGGAACCTTAGGTCATGTGATACGCGCGATACCGGGCGGAGCAAAGCTGGTTAAGAAATAGTAAAGCTGATAGGCTACACATGAGGCCATACAAGAACAACCCCAGTGGAGAAAACATCCCACGAACTTTTTAGCAACCAAGAGTGCTCCAAGAGACGAAAGTGGGGGGAAACCTGTGTCTGTGTGATAAAATAGAAATTTGCTGGGAGCGAAAAAGCAGCCATATCTCCATTTGCCTCTTTCCTCCGAACAGCAGAATGCTACGTACAGTTCTAGGTCATTTGGAAGATCATCAGTTGAATGTAACTTCCTAATTTCACATCTCTAAGATTCTACGATGAACAGAAAAACTACAGAGCGCAGTAGTGTGCGCATATATATCCCGGGGATATATATCCCGCGCTTTGCAGACTACGTTGGAGCGCACGGGGAGATATCTCCCGCATCCATTCCATAATTTTTTCGCAAATGCACGGCTTCTCCCGCAGTTTTTCTGTTTCGATTTCATAGATTGCATATAGATATAATTATAAACGTTGTGGCCCATGATACAGTTAGATATGCTTCAGTTTAACAAAGGTTCCAAAACTGTGAACTTTTCCATAAAAAGAGGTGGAATTGTGAGTGGCATTTGAATGTTGGGCCAAAACGAAGAGAACGATAAATTTGCCAAGCTGTGAGAAGTTCCAACTTTATAGTAGAAAAACGTATACGAACACTCTTCAACAAGGTCTTCAATTTGATCCATTTTGTAACCCTAAATAGGCGTTTACTCAATCGAAACTTCTGCTGGAGGAGCCACTTTGTTTGTGCTTTTATCATGTAAGCTAACTTACTTACGGTTGTTTATACTTGTTTAAACGTTCGAGCTTACAAAAACGGAAGCCTTGTTGGACCGTGCGGAAGAGGGATATGTACACGGGTGTGGTTCACTAGGACAGAAAGCGACTTTTTCGCGTTTCGCAGCGCGAAACATTTTTCGCTGCGGGAACCTCAGGTCCACCGCTGATCATCAGTGGACCGAGGTTCCCGCAGCGAATCATCAGTGGACCGAGGTTCCCGCAGCGAAAAATGTTTCGCGCTGCGAAACGCGAAAAAGTCGCTTTCTGTCCTAGTGATTCACACCCATATGTATATCGCGACAAGTGCGGTCGCAAAATCGCGTCGGTCCCACATTGCCAAAAACACTACAACTCGCATTGTCGTCAGTGTGTTAATAAACATCGAATTATATAATTGAACCCTCTTTCAGCATCATTTTTGGCTCTGAAAAGTGAACTTTGGTAATTGAAAACGCCAATGGCCTGTAAAAACTCCTACCAAAGCAGCGTGCATTACATGAGCTCGGCGACAAATAGTGCACTGAATAACAAGCATATCGTTCATATCGTTAATAACACACTACTCCGCGCACAATTGTACGTAAGCGACGGCGCAATCGCAGGCGGCACCATTATACAGTATACAACATTTTGGAGGGTTCGACTATCCAACAACTCGAGAGCTGGGCAATTTGCCAAATTTCCCAATACATTGTGTACGCCCAAGCAATGTCTTGTTCACCCATGCGGACATGCTCTTTCAGTCACACTGCAGATGTTCTCGCTGCTCTACATCACAGTCTCACAGCGCAACGTCGAAGTGTGAGAAGAGTGAAGTTGCATTCTGCCATTGTTTATTTATACGTCCATGAACAAGAGCCCGTGAATCCAGTATGCGAAATTAATGCAATAAAAAGAATAAAGAAAGAAAGGCTGGCCCAGGGAACCAGCAGTACCCATACGACTGAGAAGCGACCCTAAAGTGAATATGTTCGAGGTAAATATGTCATGAAAGAAATGATACTCAAGGGGCGAAAAGGCCTAGACCTGAGTGAGACAACAATGGTGTTATCGGGCAATTACAGCCGGCCACTCGTGTCGTCTGTCATGACGTCACATGTCCACTCGGGTGCGTTATACTGCTGTAAGGTATCTAACTGAAGAAAACCCACTACCAAAAGTCGTAACTGGTGCAAGGCATTCTTCCTCTGACGTTTAGCAGGAGACCATCATGAGAGGTTTTTACGAACTGTGTGATTGTAAGATTACAAAAACCACCTTGAGCTCCCAAACAACATCAACCACTGAGCGTGGCCACGGTGATCGCGGACAGAGTTCGTTGAGCGAGCGGGGTGCGGGACTTTTGGTGCGTCCGGGTTGCACGCGGCGAATCGCGCGGCGGGCTGCGCGGCGATCCGGACGAGGCAAGTCTTCGCGGGCTTCTGCGGTGGAATCCAACACGTCAGAACGTGTGCAGATCGCGGATAGAATCCACAAGGTTCTGCGATTCGAATTACATTCCAACGCGTGGATATTCAAAGGCAGCGGCAGGAAGAGAAGAAAAGGAATAGCAAAAGGCTGTTATAGCAATCAGGGCGCTTAGGTTGCTGGCGCTTGTTGTTAAAGGGGGGGGGGGAATCCCATGAGCGGAGAGATTCAACCAATTATTGTGTTTGGGACTAAGCCTGAGGGGAAGAGTTTCTCGTGGAGGATGTGAGCAATTTCTGTTCTCCCGAGCGTATTTCCCTTCTCATGAGCTTAGTTCTAGTGTCACCTTCCATTGGCCCTGTTTTGAAAGTTCTCCCCAAGGACAGGAGCGCCGCGATTAGCAAAGATAGAGTTGACAATAAATAACATCTCACTAAATGACTCTATTTTA